GGCAGACAGAAAAAAAGGAAAGAGAAGAGGGGAAGTCTAGACAGAGAGAACAACTTGTGCCCAAGCACAGTGGTATGAAACTGCATGCTATGTTCAAGCAATTGTAATCACAATGAAAGCAGTAAGAGGCAGGTTAGAGAGGTAGACTCAGGCCAGCTCACAAAGGACCTTGTATGCAAAACCAAGATATGTGTGTTCTTTTTCAGCAGACCACAGGAGCCTTTGCCATAGATGTTTTTGAACGGATTCTAATTGTCCTGAAAAAAAAAAAAAGGGAAAATAGCATCTATTTTGAGAGGTTAAATTAACTGCGATTGTTTAGAGAACAGGACCTGTGAGAAGGGAACTTTTGCTTGGTGAGAGGTTGTTGAACAGAGGATAGTGACCAGTTATTTTCGCTTCCCACTGAGGACAAAGCAAGAAGAAATAGGCTTAAATCTCAGTAGAAGGGAAAATACCCTACAGAAGGGGTCCTTCACAGAAGATTGAGTGTGACTGACGTAGATCATTAAAATGTTGTCTTGGGCTCTCTGGCTGTGTGGTGGTTTCTGTGTACTAAAAAACCAGGTTTCAAAGACGTGGCAGGACTATAGGTTTTCAGGCTTGAATGAGTGTATTGGAATAAAGAAATCTCTCATGTGTTAATTAGTTATTCAGATATTTTGCTATCTTGTTAACTAAAGTTTTGGTGATGTATTTGAACATGTAAAATATAGATAATATCTTTTATAATATGGTATTTGTATTTATTAGAAAAAAAATGATTAGAATTAGCTAAAAAAGTGGGTGTTATTCTAAAGGTATTTTGTATTCATGTAGCATTTCAGAAAGTTCTTAAAGATTAGGGGGAAAGAATTCATTTAAATTCAGTTATTAATCTTTATTTGTAACTTTTATTGGTCAGATGATTATAATTAAAATATTTATATGGTTTATTAACTGATAGTACTTTATCAGTTGATACAAGGACTCACACATTTTTCCATTATCATTCATTGATAACTCAGCTTACTAAAATAATAGAAGTCCTTTTTTAAAAAGTCCTTTCAAATGTTTCCAATCTGCTGTTTTTGTTTTTACTTTATAAAGGTACATTTTGAAGAGGGGATTGGGAACAGCAGTTAGTATAATGGCTATGTCGCTGAACTCCCATGTAGTCGACTGCGGTTCAAGTCCCGGACCCAGTAGCTTAAACTCATGCCGGGCGTGTGTGCGTGCGTGTCCAAGATCCTGAGAGGAGAATGAAGGAGAAGGGATTGTGGCATGGACATCTCCCCTGGAGGATGATTTCTCGCTTTCTATCTCTCTCTCTCTCTATCTCTGTTTTTCTGGCGAGCGCATGAGCCCTATAGCAAAAACCTCTCAAAAAAGGGGGAGGGGGGGATTGTCAGGACCAGCAGGTGGTGTGGTGGTTAAGAGCGCATGTGACTGACTGTGGTTCAAGTCCTGACCTGGCGACTTGCTTTTGCACTGTCCTTGTCTGTCTTTATCTCTTTCTGGTCAAATTAAAAATACATACATACATACAGTTAAAAAAATAATTCTTAAAAAAAAGGAGGGGATTGTAGAACTGCCATTTTGTTCATCCTTTTATATCTTATAAAAATAAGTCAGTGAGCCAGATGGTAGCATAGTCATAAAATGCAGTGTTCTGTGAGGCTGACCATTTGGGAAGGTTCTGGGCTCATGCTTACCTATGATTCAGGGCTGGCTAAGCCTGGAGGTGGATCATGGCATCAAGACCCTTTTAGGGGTTCATTTTCTCTCTCGGAAGAAATAAGTAAAAATAACCTGAAAAAAAGTCCTTGTCTCAGGACCAGCAGATGACGTAGTGGTTACGTTGCTGGATTCCCACATGGCAGACCAGTGTTCGAGTACCAGATCTGGAGACTTGAAACTCACACCTGGCGCATGTCCGAGCATTCCCAAATCCCAGGAGAAGAATGGAGAAGGGATTATGGCGTGGCCATTCTCCCTGAGGGTGATGTCTCTCTTTCTGTCTCTGTCTATCTCTGTCTCTCTGGTGAATGCTTATGTGCTATAGCAAAAATCTTGCTTTAAGAATTTTAAAAATTCACGTCTCTGTCTATGCCCTTGCCAAACTGGCTGGTGAGGATGAGAGAGAGAATGAAAGCGCAGGCAGGGATATAAAATAGCACTTTGCTTCTGGCTAGAACAATCCTTGAAATGCTTACTGTATAGCCACCACTAAGACTTAGGCAATCTGGACAAGTATTTTTATATTTGATGTTAATTTAAAAAATTTAACGTGATTTGAAGTTAACCAGATATCAAATGGAAATCAATTTTGTTTCTTAATAAACTCACTTAAACACTTTGGAAGTGATTGTGTACATACTTAGATTAGATTACTGTACTTCCATTCTGCCCCAAGAGATGGATATATCCAACTAGTACACTTGGAAGAGCAAATTATTGGATAAATGTCATTAACCAGTAGAATTGATGACAGTGAATGCTCTCAGTTGCTTTCTGTGCTGACATTGAATAACACAGTAGGGCCTGAGAGAGAGAGAGAGACAGACAGAGAATGGCTAATGTCTGAATAGTGAGGACTTGATAAGAAAGGTTGAAGACAATACAAAGTACACTTAATTAAGTAGAAATTCTTTTCCATTATATGTTAGTGTTATATATATATTTTAAAATAATTGACCTAAGGATCATCCTCGTGGAGAAAAATTAAAAATACTACCTATTTGTAAGTTTAAAAGATTAAAATGAACATTATATGTGAGAGGTTTTTTTTTTGTTTAATATTGCAATACAGATTGAGTAGTTCACCTCTGAGAACTTTAAGATATTTCTCAGCTTGATAAGACAGGTGCTAGGCCATGTTTGCCCATGCTTTGAAGAGAACATTATGATTCTAAAATAGCACATACATAATTTGTTTACAAGCTTTTCTGATTTCATGAAAAGATAGTTAACTAAAATGTTACACTTTATTTATCTTTTCAATATATAACCATTAACTCTACTAAATTTTGTAGAAGAAATTGTTAATGGGACTATACTGAATATATATTTATTAGTAAAAAACAATTTCTGAAAATTAAGCACTTAAAGGTATGTATGACAAAAGCTGAAGCACTATTAATACAAAACAACATAACAACGATGAGAAAGAAAAGAAAAAGAATCTCACCCATAAAATTGACATATGAGTACGATGCTATTTTTCTATTTCTTTGTTCCCTCTCCAGTGTTAGCTATGTGTATTTTTTAATAACTACATTATATTTGTACAGTTTGGTGTCCTGAAAAACAAAGTGGGTTTTGTTGTTATGTATTGTGTTCTTTGTTTTATTTTTGTTTCTTTGTCTCTATAGAGCTCATAAAATATACATCAGTTTCTTTTTCTTTAGGAAGATGTACATGCAGTTTTCCCTGAGCACTTGATGTTTTTAGGATTTTAGGACTTAGTAAGTTAGTTAATTTGTTAGAAAAAAAGGACAAATTTAATTTTCTTATTATTTGAAATGCCCAGCATAGTCTGAAAAGGATACACTTGTGAACATACAACACAGTAACTCCAGGTAAAGGCCTCTCTTTAGAAACATGAGCCTCCCATGGACTCTTCTGCAGCTTCTAGCCTTGCTATAGAGAGATTGCCCTTGAGATTTGTGTTGCCTTTTGCCTTTCAATTTGTCGTTGAATTGTGTCATTTCCACCTTGCAGTGCTTACAACTGTTTAGTGGATCAGATGATAATACAGAAATTTAAGTATTTCACCTATGTGCAATCAGGTAATTCCAGAATTTCTGAAAGAAATAATTGTGACTTCTGAGCTATCAGCATCACCCCTCCAGTGACTGGTGGTTTGTTTGAAGCCTTGAGAAGTAGTATTTCTTATAAGTTGTCCACATCTTTGGGCTTATAAGTTGTCCACATCGTTGGGATATAAACAGGAGTTTAAACATTGTAGTACAAAACAGATTCAGTATGGGCCAGATTTATTAAATGCTGTGTTTTTTTTTTTCTTTCGTAGTCACTAAAACAATGAGGATTAATTTACTCTGTAATTACCTAAATATCCTCAGCAGCCTTTTCATAAACCTGTTTGTGAAGAATACTCATTTATTCTCAACAGAGTAATCCTTAAAGCTAAAAACCCGAATCAGTATGAACATCAGTGAACAAACCCATCATCTTAGGATTATAGAATTAAAACATCCAATAGAATGAGAAAACTTGATACTTTATGCTGTATTTATGCTTTCTTTCTAAGTAAATCCTTGATTTCATTTGAAGCTTAGTCTAGTACGAGTTTTATTAAAGAAAACACTGTATTCTCATCATATTTTTGTACTATACTTTAAATTTCTTTATTATTCTAACCATGGCGTCTGTTTTCTAGTGTCTCTGCAAATGAAATACAGTATATAAGCAGACAAATAACCTTTTTTATATTACCACGATTTTGTGGTCAGATTTCTTTTATAACTCAGGATAAGAACAACCTTGAGAATTCTTTTCTGATCGTCCATGGAAGCAAAGGAGGGTAAAAGTTACATACACTTTTATATTAATTTACATCAGTGATGGCTAGAAATACATATTGCCTCAGAAATGAATCTAGCTTTCAGGAATATATTTTTGTAATAAAGCAAAGAACAGAATGCGAATAACATAAGCACACATTAACTTGCACTTTTACTATCAAAACTTAAATGAATGTTTTTCTCTCATGAAAGTAATAGTTCATTTTGCCATAATGATTCAGATACTTTTGAAAATATAGATTAATATTTAATTTGGCACTTTTATTCACCATCTTTCTCACTTTTAAAGTATGAAGCACATTTTACAATCAAGAGCATTCCTTCTAAAGTGCATGAAGATCCTACTCCAAACTTTCCCTTTTAATTTGAAATGAGTCATAATGAATTCAATTTATTCATTCAGTTTTACTTGTTTAAGAAAGTCTGTTTAAAAAGTAAATACGTAAATACTAAAAAAAAATTGTTTCTTTTCAGAACAGAGATACTAAATCAGCAGATCAAAAAACAACCCTTTTGCATTTTATTGCTGAAATATGTGAGGAAAAATATGGGGATATCTTGAAATTTCCTGAAGAACTGGAGCATGTAGAAAGCGCAAGTAAAGGTAATTGATTTCTAACTGCTTTTAGTCTATTCCTTGACTATGTATTTTATTTGAAAGGGTCAGGTTAAAGAATATATGAACATTATTAATCATGAAAGTATTTTTTGTTTGTTTCCTGATATAAAAAAGTGAGAATATTATTTTCTTTACCTTAAATTTGATAGTAGAGTACATTTTAACCTGAAATTTTTGCCTTACTTCATGTTTTAATACTGCTAGGTTATTGGAGCTTTCATAACTCAGATAATATGTTCATTCTTTCATCTGATAAACATTTCAATATATATTGTTTGCAAAGAAACCATACCATAGGGTTTCTGGTGATATGAACATGATTTTAAGTCTTCTTGATTGAGTGTATTTAAAATCTTGAAGGTGAGAAAAGTTACACATACACACACACACCTTTTTAAAAAAAAAAAAAAAAAAAAAATGGGGGGCGGGCAGGTGGTTAAGGCACTGGACTTCTACATTTCCAGTCTGGTTCAAATCTGGGACCAGGTGATTTGCTTTCTCATTTTCCCTTTTTCTGTTTCTGACTCTGATTAAATTAAAATAATAATAACAAATACAATTAAATAAGTCTTGAAAAAAAATCTATTAAAAAAATTAGGGGCAGGAGCAGGCAGGTGCTGTGATGGTTAGGAGGGGGGGGGAGCGCACGCACCCTATAGCAAAAACCTCTCAAAAAAAAAAAAAAAGATGAAGGTGAGAAGTGCTATATGAGAAGATAATATCCTGTAGTTTTGATGAGGGAGAAAGTATTTTCAAATGTGTAGATAAGAGAAGAGGTCAAAGTGTGAAATATGGGCATAGGGTTTTACAGACATGGAAAGATATTTGTCTTCCAGAGAGAAAACAGTGTGTGCAACACATAGTGGTAGAATGTTTTAGAACAGATGAAAAGAATAGTTGACTATAAGGCTGGAGCTATAGGGTAAGCATCTCAGAGACTTTAGTGTCATCAGACTTGAGTCCAATGTTTATGTGGTAAGTGGTAAGGCATCTATGACACAATAAATTGGATAAGACTTGGCTCCAGTGAGGAAAAGGAGAAACGAAACAAAAATCTTTCCAAGAGTTTATTTCTGGGTACTTAGCTTTGTCAGGAAGTATTGTTTAGTTTTGCAAGAGGGATATAGCTCAATTTTACAGAGGCATATCAAGTATTTCTCTCATAAGAAGTTCCCAGGTTGAAGGAGTTGAGGTATCTTTTAGATAAAGATTTTTCTGAGGTAACTAACTCTCTTTGTTATTTGTTGATGTCTTTAATAAAGGTCATTTAATAGTACAAGTTTTTAAGGACTCTCACAGTGAGACTTAAAAATCACCATTTTTGGGATATTGATTGCATATATCAATTTATATTGTGTGCTAAATTACTATGCTGTGTGCTTTTTTGTTTTTGGGAAACTGAAAAGGAAAATCTGTTTTTTAGCAAAATCAATTTCATATTTTATATGTGTAAAAAAGAAGCAAGTGAAAGAAAGGAAGAAAGATCAAGGAAACATTTTCCGAGGGTGAGAATATTAATGTGAAGAAGTACATTTTCTCTTTTAGATAAGAGAAGTATGCCATAAATCCTGTATTTGAAATTGCACTGTAGTAATTCCATTCTATAACTCTGAGGACTTTCAGTAAGGACTCAAAAGCATATATGTTTCCCAAGTTTATTACAAACCATATAAACCTGTTAGTGTCCTTTGAAGGAAAAACAAGTGAGCCTATAAAACCTCGAATATTGTTTGTGTAACATTGTGCAGTGGTAATCTCTGCTGGTCTGGTATTGTCAATCAGATCCTCAACGTATTTCTTTAATTTTATCCAATGTGTCTCATTTTTTGGTCCAAGGACCAGAAAAACCCTAGAATCACTGTGATTCCATACTATTTATTTTCTTTCTTCGCTTTAAGAAAACTATGATGGAAAATTCCATTGAGTAGGACTGAAATAGCAGCTTACTACTTTTCTAAACAACATCTTGACTCTTGAATTTAAAATGACATCTTTGTGGCTAGAGGATTATTTACTAATATCTAATTAATGTTGAATAATAGCAACATTTAGAGCATTTGTATTATACATTGAAATATGTAAAATGCCACAAATAAGTCAGGTTCTGAAATTAGATCATTTTGGTGCTATGAATGCTGGTTTTTTTTTTCCTTTATTCATGATAATGTGCTTGTACATGTGAGAAAAAGAGTAAGAGAGACAGAGTGAGATTAGCACTCTCCACAGGTCTGCCATGCCACGAATCTTGGGCATTCATGCACATGCCTGGGCATGTTTCAGGCTAACCAGGGTGGGTATTCAAACCATGGTTGTCTTGTGGGATCCACCTTCTGATGAGCAGCACATTAACACACAGTGCTATACGATAGGGCCAGCACTTATTATTCCTTTTTGATTGCCCTCTACCAGTATTTTTTTCTATTTTGTTGTTGTTGTTGTTGTTCAACACGTAGAATCAGACCTGCCCTGTAGCCTAGTGGTTAAGGGACTCGTATCATCAGTGATCATTGCTGGTTTTATTCCCAGTTTCAGTGACTTGAAAAACATACTGGTTGCATGTGCATACGTGCCTAAAATCCTGACAGGATGGAGAAATGGAGTTGAAAGGTTTGTGACATGTCCACACCCCATTGAGGGCTGCTTTCCCCTTTCCCCTATCCCCCAGCTCTCTAGCTCTGGCGAGTGCATGTGTTCTCTCACAGTTAAAAATGTAAATGTAATTTTTAAAATATTTTTTGAAAAAAGTATGCCAAAAATGCATTCCATTAAAATATTTCACCAATTTTATAATCATGATTTTTAATTCATTTTTTTGGAGAGGTTTTTGCTATAGGGCACGTGTGCTCGCTAGACAGACAGAGAGAGACGTAGAGACAGAAAGCGAGAAATCACCCCCCAGGGGGGATGGCCACGCCGCAATCCCTTCTCCTCCGTTCTCCTCTCAGGATCTTGGGCACGCATGCACACGCACCTGGCATGAGTTTTAAGCCACCAGGTCCGGGACGCGAACTGCAGTCGACTACGTGGGAGTCCAGCGACATAGCCATTACGCTAACTGCTGGTTCCTCATGATTTTTAATACTTATATTGAGGATATTTTATATGAATATATCTGACAAATATGTATTTTAGTCAAAATAATCTGGAATGACTGAAATGAAATCTGTCATGAAGCTTGTTTCATCTTTGATTTTTTAAGTTTAACTACCTGTTCATTATTCTTTGTGTCTGTGTGTGTATGTGTGTCTATGTGGTATGTCTGTATATCCATATCTATATAACTATTAATAATTATCTAAATTTTTACATAAGCCTATATATGTACATATATTTTTATTCCATCATATATAGAGGCATTTAATCATATAGTTTTAGCTACTGTTACTGATATGGCCTCCAGAAAACAGCGTTTTGAATTAGACACTCTAATTTTCTTGTTCCAACTCTAATACTTGAGTTCTATAATCTTGAGCTTGTAAATTTAAGTTCTGAGTTGTTTCCTCATTTGTGAAATGAGAATGACAATAGCAAAAAGATTTAACAACTTAACCTATACACAGCATATAATAAAAAGCTTGACATATAGTAAATATATAGCTGTTGTGATACCACTATTATATTATTATTTGATAGTAGTAGTAATTGACATGCTACCAAGAATATTATAGTTGTTTCCATTGGATTAAGGACATAATCATCAGGATATATTATTCCAATCTCAAGTAAAAATATATTAAATTCTGCTTATTTGTTTCCTATGCAATGGCTTTTTGTAAATCTTTTCATATTTTTTTCTTTGTATAGTATCACCAACTTCTTTCTCCCTATCCATTTCAAGAGTAGAATTTCTCTGCTGTATTTTGATTATCTCTGCTTCTGTGTATTCTTCTTGCCAGTGTTCTCAAAAGACCATTCCCAAAATCCTCTTCCTATCTCACTGTTGGGCCATGGCAATCCCCATACTCAAGTTATTTTGACTAGTTCTTTTTCTTTGCCTATGAAATTCAGACTCAGAGTTCTTAACTCAAAAAGTTCTTAAGCATATTCCGCCTGCTTGCATCCCTCTTTCATTTCCTCCTGGTTCTCATTTCACTGTACCCAGACATATATTTTCTTGAGCCATTTTTATTCCTTTATAATAATCCTGTCACTGTGTACGATTTCATGCTGCCTGGAAATCTCACCTGCCCTGTCCTCTAAGACAACTGACTATCATTTGTCAAATCACTGTTCAGAATCCATTTTCTTTCTTTCTTTCTTTTTCTTTCTTCCTTTCTTTCTTTTTTTTTTTTTCTTTTAATGTTTTGTTACTGAAGCCTTAGGAGAATGCTTTAGAATTCAGTCGAGATAGGCATGATGGTTTTCCTTTATGCTTTTTAACATATTTTTATTCTTCCCCAAGTGCATGCCTGGCACATAATCAGGCCAACTCAGGAGTCCAAACCAAGGTCTTCCATGTGGCTTCCAGTCTTCCCAGTACTCTTAATTACTCCTGGTGACTATATTTTATTATATTATATTTATACACACACACACACACACACACACACACACACACACACATCTATAGGTATATATTTTTTTCATACTCTTTCAGTAAAAAATAAAAATCGATGAACACTGAACAATTTATTTAATGATGGATTATCTCCTGCTGAGATGATCCCTTTGTCTCAAGAACCAAGAAAAAAAAGTATCTTTGTCTTCTAACTGAAAAAGTATAGATAAAACAAAATTAACTCAGTTAATTATTTGATTATGTAGTGGTTCAACGGAAAACTCATTTTTGTATAGAAAATTTGTCATGACTTTTCCAATGATCCAATAACTTATATGTAATGAACAATTGTTTGACTATTCATACTTTTGCATATGTTTTTGGATCATTAGAACCCAAATACATACATTGACAGAGAAAAGATCCTTTTTATATGGTATAGCAAACAATAATTTATATTAGTTGAGTATAAAAGTTATAACGCTCA